TTTAAAAGAAGTGATAAAAATATCGAACACAAGGTAATTTACTGGAATTCATGGCAACGCTTAGTTAAATATGTCTCAACTCAATGCCTTGGTTTATGGATCCTACATACCTATAGAAAACAGGTCAAAGGTTTTAGTCAAAACAATATCGTAATATCAAGTGAAATTGTAGTGACTCTACTTTCAGTTTCGTGTGTTACTTCGGACGATGACTATGAATTCATAAGTAAATCAATAAAAAAATACGAAAGAAGAGAATTTCAGAACTCTATATATTATCATATACATACATGAACCATCGCACACAAATCATTAGAACTTACAAATACATATATTTTTCTCTATGACTCTAATGTCACAATAGGAAATACCACGCAAAGCGTAGATGTATATTACACGTTTGAAATCTAATAGTAAATTTAAAACAAAAACCTACTATGCTTACTATTACTTTGCTACTGTTACTATTATTTGCGTATATATCTCGTATATATTATCTGTCTCGATTCTGTTACCTATATAACGATATTTGTTTAGGTCACTGACAATGCGATATCTAAAAATGAAGATCATGATTTAAAGAAGCAAATACTTTCATGTTACTTTATAGCTGGTTAACAATACCTGAAAAGTATTTAACTACTGCGTTGGCACATATGCTAACTAAAGCTCTTCTACTGATTAAATCTAAAACATTTTTAATCCGGTAATTCATTCTTTGACTGCTTCTTTCCTCCTTGATTTCTCAGACTACTTAAGTTCACCAAGGTAAGCAGAACAGTATTATTTAACCCCAATTATCAACGAAATTAAGCCTAATTCTTATCCTTTACCCTGTAGTTAGGTATATATGAATTAGAGAATCTACTAAAATTTTGTACAGAAATTATATAAATATTGCTGGCGTAACCACCGTCCGTGCTCATTAATGAAAAGCAAAGTAAAAAGATCCCCTTTCTTGCTTTAATAGAACGAACCTTCATAAAAAAGAAAACTTCGATGATAGCCTTATATTAATCTGCTATGGTCTAATTTTAGAGCATAATACACGTTTTATATACAACTAACAATTAAATATCAAAAGAGAAGGATCGACAACAAGGCACTGTAATGCACAACTCGAGTCGTAAGCTAGTTGGATAGTAAATTCTAAGGCGTAATTCTAATTAGCCAAATCTTACGAGCAAAAGAAATTCTCAAAAAAAAAATCTATAGGGTCCTAGTTGAAGCTCATTACGTCATTAAGCAAAAAACGTTTCATGAAAATCGTACGACATATTTGATCACGTAAAATTCTTTTTGTGTGTTTCGTGATCAAGTAAAAAAAGTAGTTTTCAAAATCAAACTACTTCTATGTAGATAAATACTTTGAAACGTTTTGTATCCAATTCCGATTTTCTTTCTAAATGACTATTAATAAGTTAGTCATTGTACATTTCTATTTATCCCTGTTTTATTTATTATTTAAGTTAATTAAATTAAATAAAATTTTAATATAACGCTTCATATGCGGTTAAGCATATCTTTGTAGGTACTGCTTTTATTAGCCACCTTGCTTGTGCTTGTCATCTTGCAATGCACTAGAGAATATGTGCATCACTACTCTATAATCCGGCACCTGGAAGATGTGACCAGTCTACCGCAGCTATCGTCACATGAAATGACTCTCTTCCGGCGATAGCCCGCGCCGCAAAACTAACGCGTCTTATCTATATTATATAGTATATTATATCACGTAGACATTTATACGGATCCTATCTAAAGCATTAATGTGCTCGTGGTACAGAGACCAGTTTTCACAGATATAGTAGACTTTACATGATGATTGCCTATATGGCAACCTTTCTTTACAAAGTCTTACTTCATATAAACGGAACACTTGAAACGAAAGCTACTGAAGTCTGCAGCTACTCCAATTCTACTGTTCACTACGCATTAAAATGCACGTTGATATATTAACATTATAATGTTATCGAGATATTTGAATTGACCAACATGTAAAGCGAGTATTCACCAGGTGATATTTTAATCAGTGCACTGCTAAGTTTATTCAGGTATCACTTCAATTTTCTATATACTAATTTTATGACCAAATCTACGAGAAGGCTCGACCTGATCATACTCAAGTGCCTCTGAGGACCTCTTCAACGCGAGTTGCGATACATTCGCACATTTGCTCGTTCAGTCGTTAGCTAATGAGAATACCCCTTGATTTATTTCTCGAACACATTTTCTACTTAGTGAAATATTAATATATTCTTACACAAATACAATTTTGTGTTTAAAAATATATTTACAGTGAACGTTAAAATCTAGTCACAATATCTTAACTACATTGTTATGTAAATGGAATCTTATCGAGCTAAATACAGTTCCAACATCTCAGTAGTCGAATAGAAAACTACTCTATTCGAATATTGTAGTATGCAGTTCGGATTCACTTATCTTTTATAACATAGCATTGACATTCCGGACGATTGCTAGATAGTAGATTGCTGCATTGCAAAAGGTTGTAATCTCTTGGGTAGCTGGGAATCTGGATTTTTTTTAAATTTTTTATACGGGATAACAATGTGAATGCAAAAATTACGACATACTACTATCCCAATATTTAACTCTATTATATAATAGGTATATTCGTTGATTTAAAACGCCGAGACGATGAAGTAAAACGCCTTGTAAAGTAATAAAAAAATAACGTAGCATAAATTATTATAAAACATTACTTTAAAAATAATATACCTGTGCGCGCGATGCTTAATGGCTCAGTTACACTGGTCGGTGGGGTCAGCACGTGGAGCGCAGGCGACCTCTGCACGTTGATCTTATTGGTCATTAAAAACAATGACCGATTAATGAAAGCGAGGAATGAAAATCGGACTCACGCTACACGCTAATGTTATCGACCAGTATAAATACGCCACAGTGAATTGTAACGTCGTAATATAGTATTCATATGTGTATCATTTTTAAATGCATTTCTAAATGGTTGGCAATTTCGATAAGTTCAATTTGATCCCCGGACGGAATTATTCCACATGGGGCTACAATAGAATTACAAACATCATCCCCTTCTGTGTTCTTATTATTTTAGACTGCTTTAGTTGAGCTTATTTGAAAATTTTGAGATAATTATATTCTAATATTAATGTAGAAAATTAAATTACTCAATATGTATATTGAGTAATTTAATTTTCTACATTAATTTCCTTCTTTTATCATTTACACAATGTAAAGAAATAAAATATCTAACAATTCCTTTTTTGGCTTTTGAACTAGAAATTGCCTGAATAAACATTTCTTATTTATAAATTAACAGTATATACAATATTTATTTGAATTGGTTCTGAAATAGAATCTTCAAAATACAAATAAGAATATTTTACCGCCTTCCTATTTTCGCTTTCTAAAACTTTAAGACTCAGTTACACAAACGTCCATTAAGGCTTACTGAAGACTAAAGTTCTAATGAATGTTCTAAATTTCAAAATGACAATTTATGGACGTTTATTATCTGGCTGAAAATGTATCAGCACACTTTTTTGTGTTCAGAAATAATATCAATATAATTTATTATACTCTGGTTTTTCTTCTTTCTTTTATCTACTGACATCACAGAAAAAGAAAAAAAAAGCGCTTAGAGGTAAACGATCTGTTTTTATCATACTTGCAGTTTGTTTACTATAAAATTAAACTATTAATAATTACATTAACTTATAATATTTTAATTTGTAAATATCTTCTATTGGCGATATAAAATAACAGGAAAAATATACAATGTTTAAAAATTTACATACATAAAGTTAGGTACCTAAATTAATAATCATTTAATAATCAGACAACAAAGCGACTGTACAGCTTATGAATGAGCTTCAGGTCTCGATATTTCTAAAAGCAATACTTGTCATTTAGTTGAAACACGTTTACAATACCATTCTGGTTCCACAACTACTGTTCAACCATATAAAAATGCTCATCTTAGCTCACTGTTATTCACCCAACATTTTCTGTAGGTACTCATCATAATAATTGCATTACAAAATAAACTCATGCTCTAATGAGACAAGAGTTTAAGTTTAGATTTACCGTCGCTTGAAAAGGAAAAGAACACTCAAATACTAAGGTACTTAAAATACTTACAAAAACTTACTTGTATTATATAACCAAATTATATTTAAGCTCAAAATAAAGAACGTTTGCGTGATTTTTTTTACCACGCAATAAGGTAAGCTTTATCTGTAAAGCTTACCTTATTGCGTGGTAAAAAAAATCACGCAAACGTTCCCAGCCACCAATTATTCTATACTGATAGCAATACAATAATGGAATATCAACTACCCAAAGGATTTTACTATTTCGTAGAGTGCTGTATAAGTGCCTGCTACAAGACCAATAAGGCCTACGATCATCAAAATACCGTCTTTTAAGAGTAACAAACGAGCACCCCCCCTCTTGCCGTATGCTAAACAAGCCTCCATTAAAGCCGGGAAGCATACACCTAGTGCTGATAAGCAGAGAGCTCCGAACAACGAGATGAAGAGCCCCAGGCGAGGTACAGCTACAGCGAGAATAACTGTGGAAAAATATAATAATATATAAAAATTCATTTTGTCCCTAGTCTAGTTTAAAATGACATAAACCGAGTTGCACAAATGCTCATTATAGTCAATGGATTTTTTGAAAAATTACAATTATATGAACGTTTCTGTAACTTGGTTTATTAACTTATATTGTAAGGTGACACAGAAAAGATTAAAACTCAAATTTTCACAAAAAAATTCTTCATGTGCCGAATGCACAGGACCTGATATAATAGAATCTAATACGGATGACAGACAACCCATTAACCGCCCGATTGGTGCGGATTAGTGGTGTCAACGTCTGCAGTTACAGCTGGAACAACGTGCCTTCCTAAGCACGGAGGAACTCGAGATAATACATTTTTAGTCACCCATCCTATGTTCGACCCTTCACAGTTTAAAAGCGCTAACATTGAGCTCGCTTTCTGGTTCCTAATCATATCCCTTTCAATTGAGATTGTCTTCTTCTTAGTAAATTATTGAAATAAATTGTTTGTTCTATGAAATTTTTAATAACGACAAAAGAAATGCTTTCATATCATATAGTGAGATTACAAAAGGCACATTTTATTTTTTTTATTCTAAAACTATCAATATATATTTTGAAATGCTTATCATAAAACGATGACTAAAGTTAATACTTGGTTTAAACATGGACCGTCTTTAACAATTTCACAATCACACAAGATAAAACGACAAATTGAGACGTTCGGAATTATTTTGGTGTATTATATAGTTTGAACCTGGTACCAAAAATGTCAGTGGCAAAAGGATAAAGCTGTGTATTAATATAACACTAACACGTAAGTAGACATAGGCCTATCCTCAGCGCGTACTCCCACAATGTGATCCTCTGTGAACCACTAGCTTCCAGTCTGGGTAACATGTACCCTTTCCATACTACTTCCACCGGCACGTAGCAGTGGAGACCGTAGCTAATGAATATAGCTATAGCGAACATTATTATCACCGAAGACGCCAGCCTGTAAACAGAAAATAATAGAATAAAGGTATTGCTGTTGATTTTACATCTATGTGCACTACATTTGACGAAACAACTTTTGGACTATTCAGTCGTATAATTTTTAACTTTTTAGATACCTCTTTTCACGTTGTTGATCGTTCGCTAGTTCCGTTGCCTGTCATTAGTGCCACTTAAGCAATTCTTTTTCACTGAAAAAAGCCTTTTTTACCTTTTGTACTTCAAAAGGTTTTATTTGATTAACTCCCAGTTGCACAAACCTTTATTAAAATTTAATGACGATACTCAAATGAATGTTCGAAAGGTGAAAATTTGTATTAGTAATGCCGCTTTAAAATAATGCCAATTTTAATGGACTCTGTAATAGCCATGTTACCTTTATGTAATGACAGCGCTGCGCTCGACTTGATAACAGAATATTACTACTACGTGAGGACGGCAAACCGAATCGGTCTTGCCGTCCTCACGTTTTGCGCCTAGCAATATATTTCATTACTAAATGTTTATCTATAAAGCGGCATTTGGTTTTTATTTCACCAAACGAAAGGACGAATCTTGATGTTACGACGGAGTAAGACACCCGGTTTCTTAATTGAGAATTTAAATTTAAGCACGCCTTAAAACATCTTGAACGTCACTTACGCAGGTTTCGGTTTCTGATTTTTTTTGTGAGCAGTTGATAGCATTTTGATAAAATATTTTTTTTTTGCCATGTGAAATGTAAAAATCTTAAGTTATTATTAATAATCAGTTCAGATTTTATACTTTTCTCAATTCAGAAACGTTGTTAAACATTCGAACAGTAAATTGATGATTGATAAGAATACGCTTTGTAGTAGCGAAAATTAACAAACAAGTGCTTGAAAGATTCGTCAGTCCTGTTAGGACCTGGGTAGCTCAGCGGTTAGAGCAGTCGCCCGGATTGCGAAAGGTCGTGGGTTCGATTCCCATCTCAGGATGCCAGAGACCAAGTGGATTTTTCAAGCATTTTCTATTAAGAATAATTTTAATTATGTCTTACAGCAAAATGTAACATATTACTAAAAGTCATGGAAAACGTTATTTGCTGATGTTAACTATCTCTACGAGGTTCTACAAATTTAAAATTAATATTCTAATGAGTATATAAAAATTATTGTTTCGCCAAAATTCGGAAACGGCTAAGCCGATTTAGCTGATTTTGTTTGTGAAATGTTGCCCATAGTCCAGGTAAGGTTTAAACGGTCAGAAGTGACACGAGGTACACCGGGTCATCTTATCTATTACTTACGGGCCGGATGGCAGGTCGAGTGTGATGGAGTCCTTGCATTTGGAAGCGCAGAACACATAACCGAGCGCTCCGACCAACACGTACAGCAGAACTATAATACTCATTCCCACATTGAGGACCCCGCATGGGCCACCGAACGATTTGGGTGTTTTCATGTTATTCTCCAAAGCGACCACCTAAAACAAACATGAATGTTTGAGAATCGTGTATATCATTAATATTGATAAAAATATATTTACAAATACAGCTTAATACGTTTATTGACCACGTTAAAATTTGCCATTTGCGGCACTAACAGCTTTAACTAATATACAAAAAAAAAACAGTGATAGTTATTATTAAGGTGCTATGCTGTTCCTCTACCTAAAATATGTATTGTGAGTCGCAGTAGCAGTATGTCTCTATAATTAATTGTAATAAGCTAAGAATTTTAATTAACACGCAGGAACCTTTATATTTATGCCATAATATTGAAGATGGAACCATATTACAAAATTACCTACATTAAAAAAAAGATTCAGTGGAAGATTTTGAGCTTTAAAATGGGTTATTTTATACATGACATCTTCAAATATTTAAAATTTCTACACTATACTTTCAACACCATGACTAAATTAGGGCAGTAATCGAAATCTTATCAATCCCGAAATAAATAAATATGTGATGATAAATTACACAAATAAAAATTAATTTCGCTTGGCATAAACTACACTTTATATAATTCGCTTTCGGGCGATACGCTGACAAACAATTTGTTGGCGTAAATGAGACAGTTTACTCATACTAAAGTAACATAATACAAACTTATTATTAACACAACATTACTTTCAAAAAGTATTTTAAATTATAATATATTAAGGCTTATCATTTTATCAAAAGCTTAGCCTATCTTCCTAAATTGATATAAAAACAAAACTACATACCTAAATATCGAAATAAATTTTGATGATCCGAAAGTATGGATCAATATAAATGGGGTAGTACACCCAACTTTTTATTAAATAAATGTGTATTACCTCTTACTTTTACATCTTGCTCATAATCAGCTAAAAGAGATCTATTGTAGAGATTAGCCCACCCTTGTTACAAATTTACTTAATGGTTTCATGTAATTTTTTTTAGTGTAATAATAATATATGTAAAAAGAAATAAAATAAGAGAAAAACGATACGTTTAAGCAAGTAGCGAAAAGTAAAATACATTTCGCGTGGCCTCCAAATAAAAAAATGGGAAAAATAGCAAGCAAATAATGTAACATATGTTTCTCTGTAATTTTAATTAATAAACTTACCACGCCGACTGCGGTGAGGGCGAAGAGTACCGTGCCAAAAAACAGTGGGAATGTCGCCGCTGAACCCCACAAGTCCAGAGTCTCCTCTGTCCGCTTTTCTGTTACCAGGAAATAGATGATGATGCCCAATCCGACTAAAGTAAGCACATTAGCTAATGCGGAGAACGGTGCCAACAACTTCAGGCTTGGTATCAAATTGAATACTATCAGAGGCACCAGTATGATGACCATGTGTATCTCTATACTCATCACATAAACGGGATCGATCACCTGTAATTGATATTTTCTATTTAAGTAAATGGTATGTTTGATTAAATTGTATAACAATACTGTATATATATCTATCTATCTTACAGGAAAAATCCATTATATCAGGTACCCGAGATGGGATTCGTAATACGACTTTTCGCTAAACAAGCGTCAAGATTGGAACCCAGAGGTAGAATAAATAAATGTACGACAAGACTATTGTTACTATTCTAATAGCAAACGTATGAATATTTGTAATGTTACTTAATTTCCGTGACTTTGAAAACAAAACGGTATTCCATATTTCTAACGGACTACTTTTTATCATATGGTATGAAATAAACCATATTTCAGTTGCCTAGAAACATTCAATTAAACGTGGATACGGAGAATTATACTCCGAATCATTGTGTGTGTAACACGTGAACTCATTTCATTGAACTGCAGAGACGCGTAGGTTGTGACATTCATTGTGATATATATCCTTTTTATTGAAAGGGCAACCGAGTTTGTTGCATCACACGATCATTGATTGATACCCGACCGAGTGGGGAGGGAGACGCACCACTTAAGGCAATTTAATGAATACGGGAATGCCGCACGTCGCACGTGATCATTGACATTATTTATAGAACAATATGCCTGACGCCCGATTATTCATGAAACACATACACCCTAATCTCGTTAGTATCTCATCAAATGTGTTGGTAATGACGTAACAATTGGGCATCGATATATTCATATCGCTCACCTCAAATAGTGAAAGAGTGCGGGATATGGAGGTTTTATTCTTTTTAACTGTCAGTATGTAGCACTATTGTTGTTACTGGTAATTAATCATTTCAACATCTCGTTTAAGTTTCTTATGCTCGGAATACTTTACGGAGATTTCTATATACCCGAACTCCGTAAAGAATTTCAAAGTGCAAAAAAAAATGGTATACACTCATACTCATATTGCTCGTAGGTATATACAGCATATCCTTAGGTAGTAGCAAAAGTTAAACATTCAATTAACTAACCTTTTTGATATTATCAGCTATGAAAACTATGTAGACACAGCAAATTCCTAGTTGGTACACCACCAGGAAAACATCTACAGCAACGGCTGCAGGACGAGCAAGGCGTCCCATCGAAGTGGGACCGGCAGCTAATGCAACCTTCATGGCTTCAGGATACGATAGTAAGGGAGACCGTACTCGTTTACACGCATTATACTGCGCGCCTACCTGAACGAAAACAATGCCAAATTAATCTTATATCTATCTAGTTATCTATTTATATTAGTCTATCTATTTGTATTAAATTAGTCTTATATTCTCTGACTATACAGTGTTTTAAGCTTATTGGGAAAATTAAATAAGGGATTCCGTATCTGAAAAGTACTCGGTTGTCTATCGTATGCTTTATTTCGTAACTACTGAGGCAAGGGAGCTGAATCTGAGTGCCTACACAATAGAGGTATGTAAATCAATGACCCCAAAGGCGTTCATGTAACTACACCGTTAAATATTTTTATATGTAACATTAAAAAATATTTTATGTCATATGAATACGAAAAGGTGAGTTTTGCAAATTTGCTCATCCGTGACGAAAACGTGAAGAAAAATACATATATGGAAATAAGTGTAAAAAGTGCAACAACTAGATAATGTATACCTACTAGCATATGCAAACAATGTGTGACGATCGCACCGACGATGACAGTGGCCAAGATGCCTACGACAAGGCCAGCACGGGCGAACGCCTGCGGCATGGCCAGGATGCCCGTGCCCAAGCTGCATTTGAGCAAGTGGACTAGGGTCTCCAGGTTACTGGAATGAAATAAATTATTACAATTAATTTTCGAGGAGCTCAGTGTGGAATGAATGAATGTGGTATGTTTTTATATTATTAGGTACGTAAAATTTACTCCACGGTATTTGTCAAATTATAAAACTGCTGTGAAGCTGTGTTGAGGCATAGGAATTGCAGTTTCTAAGCCATGCAGTCGTGGATCTAGAGCTTTTCGTGATAACTTGCTAACTAACGTTTCCATTTCCCATTATACGGGTACACATTACTAATTGATGAATGGGAGCTCCAGATGCAACACAGTTTGTAATATTACTTACTACGAGATTTTTTCGGTGACTAAGCCAATCATTTGGAATCATAAAATAATTCAAAAGGTTTTGAAACAATCACAACACATTACATTTTTCAACATAGCATAATCAAAAATACAATAAACTTGTTCCTGTTGTTATCAAAGTTCCAAACTTCCAAAAAGGTTCTAAAATCAGATTTATTATTTACCTCAATATATGAAGTTTTAAAAACAACCTTTTTTTTAATTTCTTTTTTGAGTTGTTATAAATTTTGCATTTTTATGATCTTTTTATACTTTTTATACTGTTTTCTTTACTGTACACTGTTACATATTCACAGAGTAAATTAGTAGCAGTATTTACAATATAATCAAACGACAATTATATTCGTTTAAAAGTATCTTAACAATGTAGATAAGGTTTTAGATAGTTTACAAATCCTTGTTTTCATTATTTGTAATACACTTTATTATTGTAAAGATAGCCTTATTTTTTTACATCGACCTGTAACATCGAACATGAGAGAATTCTCCATGTTAAATAGTGATACAATATTAACAGATTTCTTTAGAAGAAGTTTAAATTATTTAGAAGAAATAATAAATCTCCATCTTTTTAAAATTATTTTATCGGTTATTACACGTGATTTGTGGTAGTTATCTTGACGCTCATCCATCAGTGTGAGCAAATTATTAATGAGAATGGAAATGTTTTATATAACCATTGTACGGTTACAATGTCTTAAAGAAAAGGACATTCTTAAAGAGAGAGCAACGATGTGCTTCTATTTAATGCAGTGAAATTACCTAGGAAATTCTGATGTACTAATATGTCTTTCTGTATTCACCATACCAGAAAAGGGGCCAAAACTTCAGTCATAACATTCATAATATTTATACTATACCTCGGTTTTTAATCGTTTTTATTTGAATAGAATGAAAATCTATAAGAGGGATATTTTTTGTCTAAATTTTATATAGTACCTATTTAAGAGTAGGGTTATCCAATACTTATTGTCAAATACTTACTTTGTGGGTCTTGGGAGCTGCCGATGGTTATGTGGATCATAATCTCCGTTATCACTGCAAAGAAACAAATAAATATCACTTTTTCAGCTTTTCCAATTCTGAGCGATCTTACTGGCTTGATATTTGAAAGAAACGGTGAGCGTGGGTCTAACTGATATTTATTTTTTATATAATTTTCGAAATAAAAAACTGTGTTTTGGCCTCCCTTGACTTCCACATCTTACATAGTAAGTTTATAAATAATCCTTCATAGTATTGAAAAAAAAAATACCCATTTATAGGCGGTGCATCTTGCGCACTCTGCAATCGCACCATCTCAGATTTGCTTTCTTGCTCCATCGTCGCCTGCGCCTACGGAAACACCAAAGTCACAACAACTTCTTTATTTTTAATTCCATTTGCTGTGATTATAATAAGGACTTGATTTTGGCCGCATATCGCAACAGCGATGTAGAGTTCGGTAAGTAATTTGTTCACAACTGTTTGTAGCATCGATTGGATGTATGCGCGGGGCTTGCACTTTTTAAGAAGTTCTCTGCGCATATCCAGTTTATTTATTGATCGTTTCCATGTAAGAGATTTGTCTAAGAAAACATGACATAACAGTTGTTCAAAATAATGACCGTAAATTGTAATTGAGCATTAGAATTTAATGTAGTACTATGATTGTGAACAATTCCTTTTACGTCGGTTTTAAATTGCATAAAATGTGAAACGTCGCTTTAGGAAAATGAGCTTCCTGGAATATCCATACTGAGAAGCTTGATGGTTAATCAACTTTCACATAGGCCGCTCATTTGGTGATTTACCGAAACTATGCAATTTAAAGGTAACATTGGGAAAGCCACTGAATCCCTAAATACAGAATGTACTTTACTGCATAGTAGCTTAATGATAATAGTAGACAAAGTGGTATACGTGTTCCGGCAGTCCTCACTAGAATTTTAGAGCCAAAATTAACTTCATTCCAAAACTAAAAATCAAAAATAAATTAAAGTGTGTCTCCTTTCTATTCCTAGCGCCATCTAGAAGATAACGTCATTAACGTTTTTGGTGCAGTTCGAAGTCACGGTTACTTTTTTATTATAAAGTGAAATTAATATTTAAAAGATGTTATAGTGTACAAAACAAAGTACACATTACAAAATAATTCCTGAAACATAAATAGAAGGTTACAATAAGGATGTACACGAAATAACAAACAATGAATTACAACGTTTACAACGACATCGCCGCCACATTGAAAACATTCCTAAATCTATTATTTTTTGGCATAAATAAAAAAATATTACTACTTATTATATTATAGCAAGCAAAAATACACGTTGAGTAGTTGGTCCTGGCTTGATCTATCGTTCGCGATCACAATTCCGTATTGGGTCTGCGTGTTGAGTGATGGCTTGCTTTCCGTCAATGTTATTAATAAAAAAGTTTTAGTGTCAGAGTAAAACGCTAAAATTGCAATTTTAGTATTGAATAAGCAAATACTACTACATTTTAGGAGTAAATATTACTCCCGTAGAACCTCGTATAAGGTTAACCTTTGCTACGTATCTAATAATATGAATGTTAACTAATACTAAGTGCAGTCTCAGCTTGAATTTACTCGAACACTAAACCTCGTTTATTAATAACACTGCGTGTGTTTACATAGAGAATGTGTGTGTCCTAGTAATGAAAAATTGCTAGGATGATGATGGTATTGACGTACGGTTCTGTTTATATAAAATCACCCCTACTGAAATTTTTCTACAAAACTTTCAAATCTTCTTTTTTCAAAATAATGTAGAATATAAACAGCACATCAAATTATAACAAAACTGGCTTTTCCCAATCGATTTACAACAACCTTTTATATTCAAAATTCATTGTGGATTTTTTGCAATTTATGACAATCAGATGTGCTGCTGTGTACTAGCATTACAGCGTTTACTTATTCCGAGTCCTGGAAAATATACCTTACAATCCATCGCAAAATTTCATCGCAATTAAACGTCAATATGGAATAGCAGATACGGCAGTCTACCATCCATAATTATATGCATATTACTTCCAATTACCCCAAGAAAGTCAGAAACTTAATCTCTTTATAATATTACTATATCAAATATTCGTAACATAAATACTAATAAATAAATGATGTAAATACTGCTCTGTGGTAGTCATCAGTTATTTACTTTTATAACACCTTAAACGGTTGATATTTAGAGATATTATCTAAAAATCATTGCACATCAAGATGACTAATAGTTACCATTTAGCTACAAATATATATACATATAAATATGACATAGTATTTTGATAGCTCAAATGAGCTATCGATGAGGAATCCTGCATAACCTAGTACTTCGTCGCTTGACGGTGCAATTTGTTAAATGCATTCTGCATTTAACAAATGCAACCCCTTTCTTAATTAAAATAAGGTTGAGATATTCTTAAATTGTAAACCATTTGATTTGTCTTTTCACATGAATAATTTAAAACAAACGGCAAAGAGCTACGTTGTTAAGTCTTTATATGGGTCAACTTCTTAATTGCTCAGCGACAATGAAACTAACTGAATTCCTAATAAATTTCACATAGTCTTGCCATTTTAACTGATTGAGCTGTTTAGGATCTGAATTATAATATACTCGTTTCTTATGGAAATTACGGCCACGTAAAAAATTCTCTGGCGTAATATTTTGAATAGAAAACACTGGAACAGCTTATTGAAAACATTATGCGCAAACATTTTTGCGTCAATTGTAACTGATTCCACAAACCCACACCATTCTATTGAGCCCATACGTAATGTGCTACTAACAATACAGTTAGCGAAGTATGCATAATTCGATCAATTGAACATTGTGCATATGATGTATTGTCATCACTACATTCGAGATCAAAGATCAAAGTTCGACAAACATTCCAAGAAAGTAGAAACCGTTCCAAATACTACAAAAAATTGTACGCTTCAGACTCTAATTGGATTTCACGTTAATTAGATGTTTTGTTTTGTGAAGACGAAACAATCTATGTAAATAAATTTATCCAAGGGCACCTCGGACATCGTGCATTCAGAGATCAAACTGTGAAATTATAAAATTTTATGCTGATACCAGGATTATCTCTCAAACTAAAATATTGGAAATATAAATGGAGATTTTTTATAATTTAGTATTGTGTTTTTAAATAATATGTCAGTTCTGTTGTAATACATTTTTTTTGTTATTCCATAGTTACATGCACAGCATAGTAGAAATATACATGTTACATGTATCAAAAAATATTATTACATTTCTGTATCACAGGGTTTCTAATATGGGCTGTAAAATATTATAATTTTATTTCTGTTATCTTTAGTTATTTAAATATACAACAGAAGTACAGATCGAAAGGATTAAAATAAAATAAGGCTTCTTCGTGCTAGAGAATCACTACTGATATACGTATATATGCATATATATTTACAAATTCTAGTCAAAGATTCTAGTTTGAATAACGCGAAAATATATCGGTCTTCGTTTCTTAATTATTGTTTGCGTTTTTCTGTTTTCAAAAATATATAATAACAAACAAAATTATTTCAATTCAAGTTAAATTTGACTCCGAAGAAAAAGATGATGTTAACACTTTTTGTAATACAGTTTTTATACAATTTTCACCGCTCATACGTTGTTCATTTGAATAAAACAGAAGTATTACCATATTTTTCTTTGGTATAAAAAAAATATGATCTTCTCATTAATTTGTTTTATTTTCTTAAACTCAGTAAACAAATTAACAGATATAAAGTGAAAATAAATATAAGTTAATGCGTGCCAGATGAGAACAAATACACGAAATGGTAATTAATAACAATTGTTAACTTCGCTATACTTACGGTGGAAAATTAGCTTTTTTCACAAAACTCTCAACTTATAGTTTCTTTTAATGACACAATTGGACACTGGTTTTAATTTTTATGTTTTATTTGTATGTTTATGTTGTTATGTTTTATAACGTAGAAAATTCAGAGCTGCGCGCGAGTGGATCTATGTTTAGACGCGCACTCGGCGACTGATTTAAAGCAGCCGACGCAGGTACCCTTAAAAACAATTTTCGTATATCGAGAACAATATGCTTTGTCCTACTCTAATAATAAGAGAACGTCAGGAACAAAACCGTAAAGAGGTTGTCAACAAAAAAGATAGAGAAAATAAACTGCAAATGGGTATAAACGAAAAAGCAACTAATTGGGCTGAAACGTGACTATAGAAGGAATACTTTATTTTAACTTACTTTATTTTGTTTATGATTAATTATTAAAACGGGCTAAATTGGCGAATACCGTATTGCCTTAGGACATTTTAGTTTTCACCTAAGTACAATCAGCATTCTGTTATTTTTATTAACTCTTTTTAATCGACTTTAATGAAGGTGATTCTATGTGCAACTGGTATGTTTTTTTATGTATCTTCACAGATTTATCCGCGAATGTCAAAATTCTTTTAGTTAAAATAATAGAAAGCTTATTATGCTCGAGTTATTGCCATATAAATATTATCGAAATCGGAGTAATAGTAGTTTTGTTATTATAGAAAAACGAGCTTCCCGCCAGCAGCTTCGTCCATGTAGACAATTAGGGAACTGTTTATTTGGATACTAATTCATATCATGTCACGGGTATAATTACAATAATATATTGAATAGTAAACAATGCTCGCTATGGTTTTAATTTCCTATGCATACTTCCACTCCCATTCTCATCACTTTATTTATAGTTTTTGGAGATAAAATATGTTCGTCGCATATAATGGAGCTTCCCGTAGGTGAAATAATTTTTAAAATCTATCCAGTAGTTTCAGAGCCTACTCGTTGCAAACAAACACAATCAAATCTTTCCTCTTTATAATATTACTAATACTACTTAGCTTTCCGCCAGCGGGTTCGCCCGCGTGGTCCTCTATTAAACTGTTTATAATATTATAGTATATACGCTTTTACCCGCGACTTCGTCAGTGTATAGTTACTGTGGGCAGCATTTCTAAAAAACGCTAAAACAAATAGCATTCATATCTGAATAAAAAGTTTCATAATTTTATCTTTAACAATGACGAACTTCCATACAAACTTTAAATCTCTATTTCAACCTATTTTTCATAATAATAAGCAACCTATACAACCTATATCTCAAGTCAACTATTAGTGAGTTAGGCGTTCTGTGGTCAGGCGTGAGATATTGCCAGACATATAGACAGACCTATTTTCGCTATATAATGTTAATCTAGGATGATTAAACGATTCTCTTTATCGCTCTTTAGGTATATCATATAATAATAAATTACCAAACAGTTACCAAAATAAGTAGGCTAACCGCCAGTTGCACAAACGTCCATTAAAATTGACATTAATTTTAAGCGATATTACAGGTATGAATTTGACATTCATTAGAGCCTAAAGGCGTCATTAAACCTTAATAAATTTTTGTGCAACTGGCCGTATATAAATTACAATTGCTTGGACGTCTTTTAAGCTCACAGCTGTTTTTTTGTCGAAGTTTAAATTGAAGAGATTGTGTGTAAATAAAGCACAGAGAACTTTAACTGTCAAGAATCACGATACGATACACAATTATTAATTTTATCAATAAAAAAATTAACGCGATTTTAGAATTAAATTATTTTGATGTTCAACTTCGAAAATGCTACAACAAAAAACTGTAATTATTTATTTAAGGTACAGGAACAGCTACACATGTCTTTAACCGACTAGTATCCAATGTTTCAGGTCCAAGGTTTCAGTGCTTTATCTCTGACAAACTTTAAACCTATTTATCCGATTCGATAAATAAATTATTAGAAATTGACATCGCAAGTTCTGCATATTGAGTTCGTTTTAGTATGTAAATATTCGAATTATTCCTTTAATAGTATTAGAGTTTATCTATTCTTGTAAATTTGAATGATTTGAACTTGACATAAATATATTATTAATAGCGCGATACAAAAATTATACACATGTCGTTATCATACTATATATAAAAGTCACCTCTTAATTGGGTGATTGTTTATATAACTGCATACACGATATTTATGACGATATAGATAAGTGAAGATTGAATGAAGTTTTTCTTTTTTTTTTAATAATTTTGTTACTTTGCAAGGGAATGCACATCATGCACGAGGCTCTGTTGTTGCGGCCTCTTTGGGCTAAAACAAACACAAAAATAAACATGAATAAAACTTAAAAAAATAGATCAGACTTCAAACTTTAAAAAAGTGACAAATAATGTTTATCTCAAAAGCGAATTATTCAAGATAATGGTATTGTAGCAGAGGTCTTCTGTAGGTTATTAATTAAAAGATAGGCGCCCAACAGCAATAGCGTTTTTTTTAATAAGTTGCTTTTGAGATAAGTATGTTCACATTTTAAAGTTTTTATTTCTTGCTTTTTAGTGATATAATTTATTTATTGATATAGATAATAAATGCTAAAAATATTAAATATCTTTAAAAATAAAAATATTCAACATAGGGAATCTTGTTTATTTGCTCGACATATTTTTTTTACAATAATTCTATAATCGTATTATAAAGCAGAAAGATTTGATTGCTTGGTTGTTTGCACTGGATAGGCACTGAACCTATTGGATCGATTTTCTTTCGTCTATGGGAAGCTACATAATACGCGTTGGACATAGACCACAATTTACACAGGCAAAGTCGCGGGGACAAAACTAGTTTGATAGAAATTGATTCACAATTCGAGAAGAAAATCGAATGACATATCTATTTTCATAAAAAAAAAAAATCCTTGAATCTTGAACATAGAAAATCCCCATCTCGGATTTTGAATAAATGCCAAATACGCAGTCTTTTGTTTTTAGCTGAAATACACGAAATACAATACATACCATCTAAATATTTAGGTGATATATGGTGAAAAGCGTATTTCGTTTTATTAAAAAAGGAAATCTATTGATTTGATTTTGATACAATTGAAATAGGACCAATTTGGTCCTTTACGTTGCCGAATAATTTTGAAGATTTTGAAGAAGATGAAGTCAGCGATTACCGGAAATATCGGTTAACATACATCGCAATAGTAAAAATAACAACCTCACTCTTCTATAATTAAAAAAATAATAATTTGATTTGATCCGCCTAGCCCAATGCGGATTGGAGGGTATTAACGACTGCGAATGCAGCCGGAACCTTCGGTTTAACGTTCCTTTCGAAGCACGGAATAGCTCGAGATATATTTGAATTACTAGATCTCCAATAAGCACCCCTCATTCTATCAAAAAAACAAATGTTTTCACATTATTATGCAGAAGACGTTGGAGCAGTGGTTAGTGCGCTCGATCTACGATACGGTTGTTAAGCTACACTCGCAAAGGCCGGTCATAAGATGGGTGCCTAATTTTTATTTCGAGCTCTTCCGCGCTGTGAAGGCACGTTTAGCCGCTGGTTTACGTGCCTTCAAAGCGCAGATGCCATCCATAGAGAAAACTTATACCCCATCAAATGATTCAGAATTATAAGAATTATTTGCGACAGCATTGCGATTTACATCTAGATATAGTACGTAAGTAGTCGATTCCTGTGACAAGTAGTACTCACGGTCGTGGCATGGACTTCGCCCGCGTATCCATTAGTGAACCAACCAACCAACTGATATTAACTCATAATAATTAATGTAAATTTGTTATATTATTTGAAAACTATTTATTTTTATTTTTGAAAACTTTTTTCAGAGAATATCTTCTATTATCAAAAAAACTAACAGAAGCACTCAATAATTTTAATGTGAGCTTCCGAGCCGAATAATATAAGCTTCCGAGCAAATCTTACTAACGACTAGCTGTTTTGCTGCGACTCCACTTGCGTACGATGGATCTACTCGTATATGCTAGCTACAGCATATGGAAAGGACCCCAGGCTCAATCTCTTAGTGTCGGGACACAGGAGTTTAAACCAGTAAACCATTCGCCTTTGGACTCACATTTTAAGCATTATTCTCGAGACCTAAACTCTTTAAGAATCAATTTTAGAGGCAAAAGTCTGTCTGGTTGGTCTACATAAAAGTGTTCAAGACTACACTTACACAAAAGTGAAATAAAATATAACAAGAAGTTTACAAAAAAAAAACATAATCATCCAGAACTTAAAAGACTTGCATTTGAAAATTAAAAACATTTTTTTAGTCTCTGGATGTAACTTGATGCAAAATACTATGATGAAAATGAAAACTGTCTTGGCCTTCTGTCATTTTTAATCTCCTTATTTGTCATCTATTTTGGTAATAAATAATATTATATTACAAGACGTGTGACTTTTTTTAGATTGAAGATTTTGAAACGCTGGTATATTTAATTTCACGTAATCATGATTTAGAATTTTTTTTTACGAGTGACGTGAAATAATATCAGGACAACATGTCTGTATACAAGTATATGGCTGGGATTGTCGATACAATCACAGGCGGTAAGTGAACTACTGGAAATGCGAAATTCATATACTATACTTAAAGTGTCTTTTAAGTTATCACGAATAATAATTGCATTTCTCGTACTTATTTTCCAGGCGAAGATGATGTCAATTACGATCCTCATCAGCACCGTAAAATCGAAAGACCGACATCGTAAGTTTGTAGATTCACATAATTGCTGTGTCAACTCTTCGTACTATTGCCTAAACAAACTAAATAACTGACTGTTTGTCCGCAGATACGCCGATACAATGATCCATCTGCTGAAAGGCAGCATTGGAGCAGGCATCTTGGCCATGCCAAGCGCTTTTGACCGAATGGGTTTAATTTTTGGCTCAGTTGGCATTATCCTTATTGGTGCTTTTGCAACATACTGCATACAACTCCTTGTAAGCTTATCTTCAAATTATCTACCTAGATATTTTTAGGGTCCAGGTAGTAAATAAGGAACCCTTATAGTTTCGACATGTCCGTCCATTAGTCCATCGGCGGTTTAGCTCAATAAGTACTGGTACTAGAAAGTTATAATTTAGCTTTAATATACATGTTAATAACGCTGACAAAGAGGTAAAATAAAATTTTGTAAAAGAAAAACTTGTAGGTTACTTCCTCTACAGTGAAAAGTGGGGATGGAATTATTTTTTCATTTTCCCCATAGTGTAGAGCATCGTTGGATAGGTCTTACAAAAACATTGGGGATCCCTCCCCCTCTGCCAACTAAATGGTCGTTGGGAAAAAGTCCAACGTTACGGCAGTAGTTACCTATATATAACGAAGTTAAAAGGAAAACCTTCACGATTAAGTTGCTTTTACAAGTTAACGAGTAAAGTTCGACCAATTATATTTAACTCGAAAATTTCGAGCAACTTCACAGAAAACAACAAAAAAAGGTTTTAAAAAGTTTGCAATTGGCTGGTTTTTAGATTGTAGTTTATAATTGATTAATAATTGGCTATTAACTTTAATAATTTAAATATGAAAAGGTCAAATTTAACAGTATAGAGAGTATTCTCTATTCTTCTGCCTGTATAGGCACAATAAAGAATTTATTATTATAGTGTTTTGTACCAAAAATGTAGATGTACAGTATAATTATCTCAGGCACTTAGTATGACAACAGATAGCGACGCAATACGAGTTGTGTAAGAAGTGGCGGCGGGGCTACATAGGGTACCCTAAGTCAATGAGATTGGCAATACAGGACGGTCCACCTTGCATGCGCTGGTCTGCAGGATTCTTTAGCTATTTTGTGGAGATTGTCCTTACAATTTGGCAACTTGGTATCTGCTGTATATATCTCATCTTCTGCGCCGAAAATATTAAGCAGGTATGTTCAAAAACATAAACTAAGACAAAATATTATTAAATTTCAATTTTGTATACACGCTGATATGAAATTATGATCAAAATTATTGAACTTTGTACATGTCAAGCCACCGGTCTCTACTGCTACTGCGTTGGTTTACCCTTCGATATGTTCTAGGCCCATCTTGTGATGGCTCTTTTTAATGTGTGTTTCTAACCGATTAACTTATTTTTTGAGAAAACTTTTGACATTAAAACAGATTACCTATACTCTCAGATAATATAAGACTGTCACAATGGTCCACTGAGGAGAAGCCTGAGATATTGTATTCGGCAGTACGAAGCGTAAAGCTTGGATATGGTGCCAGTATAATTTTTAAACTCCTAAATCTTAGGACAAATAATTATTTATGTTAATGAATAGCAGATTTCTTTTTTCACAGGTCTGCGATTATTACGGCTATGAGCAGTCCCTACGAATGCACATGTGTTTCCAACTTCTTCCTCAGGTGTTATTAAATTTGATAAAAACACTCAAACTTCTTACGCCGCTCTCGACTATTTCTAACTTGTTGACGATATTGGCTTTCATTCTTGTGTTCTTTTATCTCATAGAAGATGATTTGGTTGTAGACAATGATAAATTAGTTATAAAAGAGTTTCTAGGTATTCCCATATTTATTGGCATAACGCTATTTGCCTTAGAAGCAGTTGGAGTGGTGAGTATTCTTTTTACTGTATATTTGAAGTATATTGTCAGGGTTTTTTCATATAAGTATTATCTTATTTAATTATTCCTTTAACCATGATTCTCTCTAAATACCCAAGTAAGATAATAAAAATTACCTACATTTATTAAACATTACTAAATCCAATATGTACACATTTAACAATTTTTTATACCCATTTAGTCATTCTATTGGTTGAGTTATGTTGTATATGGTGTTTTTAACACAACTTTTCTTTTAGTAAATAATCATAGGGTTTGGGAAAGTCATTTATATATGTCATCAGTCATTCAATCATTAAGGGCCAGTCAATTTTATTACAAAAACAAATCCATAGCTTAAAAGTATTTAGATTCTAGAGGTAGTGCTTATGTATATAAGATTAATAATGACTTAATAATTACAATCTAAAGTTGTTATCATAAGGGTTATTGAAAATCTTACAAAGATCTTATTTGCAGACATCTTAATATTTATTCCGAATTTCTATTTATGTAGCTTGTAAACGAATTGACAGGTATTGGCGCTTGAATACAATATGGAACATCCCAAGCATTTTGTGGGTTTATTTGGACTTTTTAATATTGGCATGGTCATCATAATAGTCGCCTACGCGCTGGTTGGCATTTTCGGATTTCTCAAATATGGTTCCACTGTTAAAGCTTCTCTCACGCTCAACCTACCACAGGACCAAAAGTAAGTCAGTGTTTTAATTCCATAAAGCTAAACCCTATTTTATAAGTCTCAATTATTCGTTGGCATTTGTTTATATTATTTGTACCGATAATGTTTCTTATATATTATCTTTGTAAATAGTGGTTGTATATTTTATATAATTAGAACCACTTGCCTCCTCGCACATCTTACAGACTTATGTGTTTGTAGTTCATATATTGCATTTTTTTTTTCAACAGGAAAGCGCAAGTCACCAAAGTTGTTTTTGCGTTAGCAATCTTTCTGTCATTTCCTCTGCAGAACTTTGTTGCTTATAATTTGATTTGGCGCAAGATAAGAAAAAGACTTCATGATGCAAAGAAAATGATTGTAGATTATATACTAAGAATAGCACTGGTTGTGTTACCGTGTGAGTAGGTCTCGGAAACTATACTTGGAAGCTGACAATATTAATAAGATCTTAAGACACTGCACTGGAATGTAGCGGTTTTAAAATTCTCAGACTTTTAGAGCTTTATTAATTGATTGTCACTAACTAGTGATTCTGTGTATTATTATGCTGGTTGTTCGCGGATTTTTATGACTGTTTTAAGGCTCCAGTGTAGCAGGTCAGTGTGCACACAGTTCCTTCGGAACACGTTGGCGAAACCGCGGGTTACAGCTTGTATTATATAAAATCTAAAACTCAAATAAACGGTTTGATTAGGTCTTTTAATATTTAAATATTACTTAACAACCAGCATAGTTTGGAATTATATTAATCACAGTAATGCCGTAGACTTATTTTTAAAGTAGTTGAAATATTATCATTGCAATAATTCTCATTTGTAGTTTATTAGAAATCTTAGGTAATATGTAAATATATGTTTAAAACATATGAACACATCTCCAATTTTTGCTTCTTTTTTAAGAAAGCATATATTTTTATTAATGTAACTATATATATACATAGTTCTTATAAAGGGATATTAGTAGTGTAACTTACTTAGTAACACGTTATGATCGCCGCACTTGAAAATTCTGTACTTAATTTACTGGTTGACTGGTAGAGTATGCCTCTTTGGAATTAAGTCCGCCATTTGGCTATTTTACTAGGCATTTAAGATTAATTAAATAAATGAAATTACTCTAGTGGTATCTGAGCATATTCAATACAAATAATTAAATGTTTCGTCTTTATAATATTATTACTCTTTAATCCAGAGTGATGAACGGTGTTTAATAAATGTACTTTTTAAAGAGTGAAAGATTATTTCTTAATGTATTGTATAAATAGTTGAAACTGGCGGAGGTAGTTATATTCTATATAAAACATCTACATGCAAACTTTATCAAATTTCCATTGTTGTAGGGGCCCTAGGAATGGCAATGCCGTTCTTAGGTCCATTCATCGCTTTATTCGGTGCCTTCTGTCTATCTCTCCTGGCCATCATATTCCCGGGTCTTATGAGCTTCTGCCACTGGTATCCCAACCTCTACGGTCCGTGTTACTACAGACTGCTAAGGGACCTCTTCGTTGTCATCGTGGGCGTAGTGATGCTGGCCGCCGGCTGCTACACAAGCATTCTTGAAATAATCGAATCGTGATGCTTCTATGTTAGTAGTTTTAATAAACTGCAATGAAGATTGTAAAAATTCGATGTTTTATTTAGAACATAAATTCTCATCGTCAAACAATTAACACGTTGACTAAACACCAAGATGTTTGCTCTCACGCCCCAGAAAAATTTACCGATCTCAAAGCATCACTCTGTTATGTATTATTACGATATTTCGGAAAATAATTGTTTTTGATTGCACCTGTGGTACTAGACACGTATAGAATAAAACTTAGTCCCACCAGTGATACACATAGCAGTAAACGTATTGTTCCCGATTGGTCATGGGCATTTTCTATGAATAGGGAGAACGGGTCCATAGCCCATGACACATTCCCAGTGTGGATTAGCGGACTGTAATATAAGCCATAGAAAGTGAATATTATGCAGACTCTAGTAATAAATGGTCCAATTCTATAGACCTCAACGTGATGCGCCACAAGGTAATCCAGCATCTGACCTCTGTGCTACTGAGTGACATACTGTAATATCTAGCTTAAGAAAACTCTTGCACGTTTTCGTCACGATCTCTCCATCCATGACATCTTTAGTAAATAATGAATAAAAATAAAAGCATTATTTAGGTCAAAAAAATATATTTAATTATTGCCGGAGGCACATGGCGAACGAATGCGCGCAGAACATCTCGCCTGCATTATTTGGGTAGACTGTGGACAATTCTCCACATGGTCAAGAGTGCGATTCAAGCAAGCTATGTGACGTAACTGCCGACGAATGAGGCGTACGTGTGAATCACGCAGTGCGCGTACATCGCCTATCCAACCATTTGTAGGGGCTACTTCCAGTGATGCTTGTGCCTCTTCTGTAAAACAAACACCTGTTAATGGTGTTATATTAATTATATTTGATCACTGGCCTATGTTAGGATGCGGACTGTTCTCCAAATCAACAACATTTTTTTATTAAGTTGTTAGTTCCACTGTATACTGAAAATTTTCTCTTATTTAAATAACACTACTTACTTGTTGTTTTCGAAACATCATTTCGCGTGTGTCTGTAAACAAAGATATTTTTAAAGATTTTGTTGATTTCTACTTCTCAATAGTATTTTTTTTATGAAAATAAAAATACCTCAAGTGGCGCTTGGGAGCTTGTACTGCTACATCACGATAATCACCAGAGCCAGCAGCAGGAGCAATTGGCTGATCAGGATGAGCGGGACTAGCGTCAAAAGAACTATCGACTGGTACGTCATCGACAGTTGGGGTGACAGGAGTATGCTTGTCTGTTGCAGCTGTGCCGCCAGAATATTGGTTAATTGCTTGTTTATCCGGTACCAGAGCATTATCCCTGCTTTCGCCCCTGATATCAAAATAATAATTAACACTTAATATCAGCTATAGGTATACCTTCTAAATTAAAAAGTTATATAATGAAAGTAATTTATTGCATTAGTAACAAATGCTTCTACAACGAACAGTTTCAATAAGCCTTAATCAGTGTCAGATTTACTATACGTTAGCTTACTGAAATCTGAGCCTATATTCCGAAAACATATCCCATCTTCCAATTCGTGGCATTTATTTTTTCTTACTAATAAAGTCTTATGATCAAAATTTTGCACAATGAACATAATCCGATTATCGCTATCCTAAACTAATATAAATGAATCAATGTCACTATTTAGACTTTATATTTTCAGAATTTGCAAATTAATCAGGATATATATGAAAAATTTAAAAACTTTCATATAGACTACCTTTTTATATCGACGTTACTTTCATGCTTCTCTGTTGTTATAGGCAAATGCTCGGTGAGATCAGCTAGTAAGCGACGGACGAGGTACCACGATGCAGGATACCCACTTTTTCGTATCTATACATATTATTACATTTAAATAAGAATTTTTATACATAAACAGTGGCAATTAAAGTATCAACCAATAGTACAATTTCATAACAACTCAATAATTTTATCACCAACGACATTTACCGCAGTTATTTCATATCATTTCGTGAAATTAATACAAGTACATTTCAACTGTTATGCGTTTATTCTTTCTTTGATGTTGCCACCTCTCAAGGATAAAATAAAAATACTATGGGATTTTATAAAATCATGGATGATGGTGAAATTTCATTAAATCTAATAGTTCTAACAAACCTTAAAATTAGTACAGTGAACGTCAGAATATGAAACTCATACGTTTATTTTAATGAAAAACTTTGAAGATAATTATTGTTATATTCTTACACATGCACTAGTCATCGCTTGCAAGTCTTCTATATACAGAGAAGTCGATGTACCGGGCAAATCAGAAGGAGTCTGGATGGACGCAGGAGGTAAGATGTTATGGGACCCTGAGTCTTCTAACACCACTAACCGGATTGGTTCGGGCGGCGGCCGATTAGAGAAGTATGCAGAGCCAACACTTAATCCTTCACTATAACGTGAAATGAAATTACTTCTTTGAACTGACTTGAATAATAAAATCAAAGTCAATGTCTACTGGCTAAACTAAACCTATGAGAATGGAAAATCTATGCCATCGGTTCATAACCAGCTAGAAACTTGGCAAGGCTTAATTTGGTTTATAAAAAGTCGCCACACTGAAATTTGATTTCAAAGTATGAAAGGTACTTTCATATGAAAATTTACATTCAAACAAACTACCCGTATTAGTGAGTTGATCTAAACACCGTTGCATGCCATTTAAATAATACCTATACGTCTGGCAGAATGAGTTTCGTAATGGAGGATTTTACCCCTTGGGAACTCAAACTCGAACATTTTCCTAGAAAATGATTAGCATTGACAGAATCATCTTTATGCCTTGACTTCTACTCTTTTCTTCTTTTGTCCGCGAATCATCGATTAGGCCATCCATTGGACAGATTGTCTTTTAGTTTAATGCTTAGGTATTTCAGAGTACTAATAATACAAACCTTTGTTTGATAAAGTTGTAGTAAGTGACGTCACATTCAGCGTAGGGCGACGGGGGGCGAGAAGGAAAAACGCGCGGTGGACTAACAGACGGACTGCGCGGGCGTCGTGCTAGACTGCTTCTCACAGGTGCTACTAACCTGTAATAAAGACAGAATGTCGATGATACCCCCTGACCATAACTGGATATAGATCCAGTTATGGTCAGGGGGTATCATCGCTAAATAAAAAATATTGGTTCTTAAAAACCACTATAGATTATGACATGGCATGACATGCATGCCTGCATGCGTAGCGTTCTTTACATGCGTCATTCAATACTTCAGGTTAAGAATAATCCAGGATATATACTTATTGAAATATAGGGTAAATGAATCTAGTTTTCGTAAAAGTACAAGTCGTTACATTTTCGAGCAAAAGCGTGCTTTAATTAATAAAAAATCAAATTTTATAATAAGATGTTACGGGGGGATGAGACGAAGAGAAATTAGATATGACAAGAAATCGTACACATGACAAGAAACTGTTGACCACAATATAAGAGCAAACAATGTATCCTATAGGATGGAAGTACACCGAAAGCGGTCGTATGTTGTGCGAGTACTATAATGCACAAGACAATATGACGTCCCAACGAGGAAGTATATAGCGTGCTATGCAGTAAGCCCCAAGAAAGAATTGATTATGACACATTCAGTGAACTTATTATCGGAATGGTGTTGATTACTTGATAGCCCGATTTAAAATGGTACAGCGCCATCTGTTGTCAAGAGTAGACAACAGATGGCGCTGTACCAGTGTGGTACTTTCCATATATGAGGTGTCTTGTCTCCCCCTCTGTCTATGAAGTCGTCCCGACAAGTGAGACAGCAGGAACTAAAAGTGGGACGGACCTCGTCTGTGTCTTGTGCGGAGTCTTGCAGAATACGAGGAAGCGATTGTGTTTGAGGCGTTTTGTTCCTAGGTCTACCTCGTTTTCGTATTGGTAAACTTGGTTCAGGTACATGATACTCCTCGTGATTTCTATAGCGAACTAAGGCAGATGCATGGTAAATACCAACTGGTGTCTTAGAACCGACATTTGCTATTTCAAAGGAGCCAGCACCATGCCTGCGATGTGGTCCATCACGCCGCGGGCTAGCTAAATCCTTGGCTGGATTTACTTATTTGTGGGTGTTCACAAGCACAAGATGTGCTGGTCGATAGTCGGGACATGCCTGTCTTTTCTTGTCGACTATTTCCTTCCTTTTCTCTTCTTTCATCTCTTGAAATTCACGTGCTCTGCTCATAGTATCAATCATGGAAAGCATCCGTGGGGTTAATTCATTGATAAAAGTGTCGTTCTCTACTATATCTCGATAAACATATTGGACGTCATCTGGCGTTCGTTATTCCCGTTCAGTAGTGGAGTAGTTGCATTCTGACATTGTTAATAGACTACGTGCATATCCAACTGGATGCCCTCCCCCTGGACCAAAACAGTCCCCAAGGCATAATTGCTGGCCACTTGTCGCTTCTATGAATTCGTCTTCACTCATATGAATCTTGTTCTGGATCTCTCACTAGGATAGAGAGGCCGCTGCATATACCGTTGGGTGTGTGGGATCCATTAATAGAAATCATGTAGAAGTTAAAACATTTCTGATATTAATAGTTTCAGAGATACTGTGCTATGTTTATGGAACTGATGCTAGTGGTCCGAAAACGCTCCCTAAAAATTCAAGCTACTATGTGAAATCACACAATGCAACGGTAGCAAAAAATATGAGCGTCTACTAACTCGTTGCATTTGGGGGCTTTGCAAGGACTATGCAAAATTTTAGCAATGTTGAGGGAAAGCTCTAACAACCACGCAATTTTTATATATTGAAAGTTTCGCAGTTTTAATTTCCAAACATTGCAATATTTTTTATGGTAACAAGTTTCTAAATCAATCTTGTCACGAATTCCTAATTTTAATGTTTAGATATGCATGTTACTTTTGCAATCTTTTTGTAACATCAAATAAGCAATAATACAATATTATTTACATTTCAATCCTATTAATATTATAAATGTGAAAGTTTCTTTGTTTGGATGTTTGGATGTTTGTACGTCAATCACGCCGAAACTACTGAACGGATTTTGATGAAATTTGGTATACAGATAGGGTGTTAGCTGACTTAGGTAATAGGATACTTTTTATCCCACTAAATACTTCCCTAGGGCCCACGCGGGCGAAGCCGCTGGCGAAAGCTAGTAAGGTTATAATATCAGTTCAATAAGTTGCTTAGATAAAGTTTTAGTTACGTTGCTATATGTTAAGTTACATTACATTATACAACAACATCGCAATGAGGTCCGAATGTAAGTTGTATTAAGTTGCAAATGTAACATGCAAGTTAGTTACAATCTGTAAATGGTATAATTAATATTCCATTATTATTTTATTCATATTGATTCAAATCATCTGTTAGCCCAGTGAAATAAACATAAATAGGGGTAAATCACAGATAAGTACAGAATACCCTGGGTCTGCGTCGTCGTGAGCTATTCAATGTCAAACGTTATTCGGTTTTTCGCAAATCTATAATCTTGGTTTGATTTAGACGGCTAAGATAACGTAGTACAATAGTAAACTTTCGTGTATAGTGCCTTGTAAAATGTCTTTAGTAAAAAAGTTTAAACTACTGAATAATACTGTGGGTAGGTGTCAATAAGTAAAAACCTCTTTTTCTTAAAAGAAATATTATAAACTAGCTGACCCGGTGAACTTCGTATCACTTACCTCTTGATAAAAACCATATTAATATTGAAAAATATTGCGTAAAGTGACCAATACACGACCATAAATATTGATCATCAAATGAACGTTTGACAGCTAAAAACAGTTTGTATGGGAAAATCAAATTGTCGTTTTTATTATTATACTCGCATTTTTTTATATTTTCTCATCGTTTAAACCTTCCCAGGACATCCACGAATATTTCAAGACTAAAATTTGTCAAATTGGTTCAGCTGTTCTCGAGTTTTAGCGAGACTAACGAACGGAAATTCATTTTTATTTATATATAATTATAGATAATAGATAATTCTAAAATATCGATAATCTTATTATTTCAGGTAGACATGCTTTACAATAGTTTGTTTAATAATATACTGTGTGGGTATCAATCTTTCTAGAAACTAGACACCGCAATACGGCACTTCTTGTAAGTGGGATTGAGGAGAAGGAAGGTAAGATTTGCTGGCAGCTGTGTTTGATGTGTGCAATAATAAACTAGGTCTTAATAACATCTTTAGCACGCGTAGCATGACGAACTCGAGAAAGGCTATGTCTACACTCATTTGTCAGTTTCTCGGGTCGAGAGTGAGATATCGTATACACCCGAGATAAGTGACAGTTGAGTGTAGACAAAAAGTTCTCGAGTTCGTCATGCTACGCGTGCTGGTCTAGTTTTACAGTCTGCCACAGACTTGTTGCAGAGATATAAAACCGACCACGACCTATCGTGGGCTATATCGTAGCTTTCCACGAAAACGGATGTTTGGACCAACAAGACTACGTTAAAAGGTTCATCCATTGTTCTATCCGAGTTGGCATCCGTAGCGTGTGGACCAAAGGAAAACTATGCCTCTCGAACTCGCCAAGGTCATGGAACTAAACTTAATATCACCGGCAGAGGAATCGCACGCATTGGACTCTAAACCAGCTACAGAATCGACAGCCATCAAGTCATCCAGTGCCACAATGAAGCGTTTGGTTAAAAAGTGATGTAATCGGACGGTATTTTTTATTGTTTTCATTCATATCTCTTTTTTTCTAATGGCTGTATAAGTAGTAGGTTATTTTTCTACTGCATCTGTGCTTAATTTCTTTGTATAGTTATTGCTTACAATTATCTACATAATATTTCTAATGTAACAATTTGACCGGCAGGTTGGGCACGAAATCTTGCGTAATGACAAGCTGACAAAACGTGGTGGCGGCGTTGCCGCATAGCTGCGCACTGGCACAGTATAAGAATGACGCAGTATAGAAACTAAGCCTATTTGATAAAATAAATACCTACGCTCCATTGAAACCATAGGGTTGTCGTTTTGAATGTTTCTTTTACAAAATATAAAAGGAGTTCTGACATTATCAATCAATCGAATTGTAATAACTAATTAACAAACAAACAATATACATACACATTTGTTCAGACGGTGATATCTACTTATATTATTCTATATCACCACATGATATAGAAATAACATATGCGAAAACTGGGCGGTTAAAATATATTTCCAGACAAATATATTTCCAGATCATACAAAAATCTTATTTTTTATTTCATATAAGCCTACTGCTTTCCTTAATCTTTCCTTCATTTTTTAAATAAAAACGATCGCGGAACTTATAACGTGACCCCTTATCTCGACGCGCTACGCGTTACTGAGCGTCCTGTTAGGTCCACTTAGGCGGCTCGTCGGTGAGCGTGTTTATGTGTGCGTGCGATTTCGAACGCTTGTAGGCAGTTTCACCACTGTCTACTTATATTTACACTGTGGCACTGGTATCCAATATCAAATTCTTTCCATTATATTTTTTCTCTTGTTTCCATTTTCGATTCACTTACAGCTGACTACACACATCACATTATCATAGGTGATTTCAACACTGATCTTTTGAAAGATAGTCTTTCCTCTCACACTTTTCGATTAGTTGTCGAATCTAACAATTTCACTTCTCGAGCTGAAAGTCACATATCATAATGTTACAAATGACTCATGGATAGATCATATCCATGTTTCCTCCCCAGTTCATGTCTCCCACCATGGCCAGTTACCTTACTCACAATATTGACTCAATAAAAATACGAAAAATCGGGTGCCTCATGATTTGACTGATCTGCAGAAAGAAATGCGTGTTGCATAAATGACCTTCCCATAAGATGGCAGCAATGTATAGATAATAATGGTAACTATTTTGATTAAATAAATTTGTTAAAAATAAAAAATAAACAATTTTGATTTTCAGTACAAATAGGCAATTTAATACTTTGAAACTCTTCTTCTCTTTTTTCTCCTCTTCTCTTCTTCTATTATTTTTTTCTTTTCATCTTCTTCTCTTCTAACAGATACCTCAAAAGCAGTTAATCTTATTCTTTGTCTGTGC